ATGTAGGAGTACTGCTATTTATTCAGCCATTGATTAGGCTGATTGAATTGGGCATGAACACGTTACTTTTTTTTTTCATTTTTAATAATTTTATTTATTGAATCACAGTGAGAGCAGTTACAAAGCTTGCGGGTTTAAGTCTCGGTCATACGTTGAAACACCTGTACCTTCACCAGTGCCCATTCTCCACCCCCCAAAACCCCAGTATTCCCCCAACCTTCCCCCTACCTGTGGGGCAGATGATTTTCACTTTACTCTCTCTCTACGTGGATTACATTCAATATTTTGACACCACACCTACCATTATTATTTGAGATTTTACCCCAACACTCAGATCTTCTGAAAAGGCAACAGTAGACAATGTTTTCTATTGTTGGTTATGAATAATATATGACGTCGTGTGTCTGCAGTAGTGGCTGCACGATTTTGAAATTCCGAAGTTTTAACAATTAAATCTGGAGGGATTTCTTCCAAAATCTGCTTGGTTCCGAGATTTGTTCCTGAGTTTCCTGGATCATGGCCATTAAGCAGCTTGATCAGGAGCCAGAGAGGCTGTTCGTGGGCCCCGACTTGGGGTCTCGTTGGGGTGGGGAGGAAAGGGCTGGCTCCACCCCCATCTGTTGAGGCCCTGTGTGTCTTGTCACTGAGGGCCCAAACCTGACTGTCCAATCGCCTCTGGAGGATGGGAGCGTGACCTCACACTTTCGAGCAGGCACTTTAGCCAGGGAGCCATCTAACCAGCCCCTACAAAAATCTATTTTGTGTTTGAATCTGGCTGCAGACTCCCTCCCATCCCACCAGGGGAAAAAGAAAAATCTAAGCATTCACCTGATCTTGGTATTATAAATGACTGAGAACTCTTTGGGACTAACTGAAATATGGAAGAATTAGCATTTTTTCCCCAATCAGTAGAAACTAGAACAATGAGTCCCTAGTATTTTAAGCTTTTGTAATACCACATACCAATGTATTAAAGGTGCTTCAAAATCAGAATAATAAATGTTGAACTTTACCTGGGAACCAGATGAAGGTTGGGAGTAATGAATGAATTACAAATTAGTGGTAGGAATGAGTGTCAGCTTGATAGCTTTTCTTGTAAGAATTTCAGAGAACTTAAAATACAGGGAAAAGGCAAATATTTAAATTTTATTTGAATTGAAGCTTTGCTATTTTACTTATGATGATTAAATCAGAAACTGAAATTTCAAGTACAATAGAAGAAAGCAAAGAGAGGAAACCCATAGTAGTTCTAAAGTAAATATTCTACCTTTGGGACTTTGAAAAGCCTCAGTACATGTTAAAGCAACCCCAATTCACTGAATGTAAATGTTGTCTTTCAGTTAGCAATTGACTATGGGATTAAATTCTTGGAGACAAGTGCAAAATCGAGTACGAATGTAGAAGAGGTAAGAACATTATTTGATTCCTTGTTGTATGAGCACCACTATTTGCGGGTCTGTGTTCAGGTCTCTCTCAGAATCTCCTTTTTGATTTAAAGGATGTCACATGTAATTGCAACTTCATTTTGTGAACTTTAGAGCTCTGGTTTTTGCACTGTTGAATTTCTAACTCTAGCACACCTCACAGCATGTATTAATTAGATCACTCAATTAAGATTCAGTGAACACAAGAATTACAAATAACAACTGGAGTACAGTTTTGACTTTTTTCGTGGGGGAAGCTGGGAGTTCTCCTCTTGCCAGCCAGGTACAGTGTCCTTTTGCTGTTCCCATCTCATTATGTGTGCCACCCTCTGGTGAGTAGCCTGGAGCAGGAGAATCTTAATTACTTTCATGCCTGTGCTCTCTGGAGAAGAGTAGCTGATTGAGCAGAGTCCTTTAGTGAATTTATTTGGAGTTAGATTTATTCATGACACACGGTAGCACAATAACATTTAATAGGGAAAAAAAGTATCTTCATCAGAGAGTGTAAACTTTTTAATCACTGTTGACAACAATCAAATCATCTAAAGTCTTCTAAGAATAGAATTTTCTCTTCATCAAGGCAGAATTTTTGATATATATATGTGTGTGTGTGTGTGTATATATATATATATATATATATTTTTTTTTTTTTTAAAATAGGAGTCATACCCAGTAAATGCTTTGAGTGAGGGTTGGGGTACAGAGCTAGCAGGGCTGTACCCATGCAGTGTGTGGTGACCACATGATGCCAGGGAGTCCAGTACCTCATGCATGCTAGCATGCGCTCTCTCAGGTGAATTATCTCCTGGCCCAGTATTTTCTATCTTAAAAACATTTTTTAAAAGGAGTTGAAGAGTTAGTGCACCTGGTAAGGCACTTGCCCAATCCCTGAGCACAGAACCAGAAATCAGCACTGAGGACAGCAGGGTGTGGCCCCCAAACCAAAAACTAAACCAAAAAAAATTTTAAAGCTGCTTATAAAAATAATATATGTAATATGTTAGTACATTTGTACCTCAATATACTGAACAGTAATACTAATGGTTTTATGAACATTTGATTTCTTTGGTTACTATACTACATTGTTCACTATTAACATCAAAGCTAAAAATCTAGGTGAGATTGCTCGTGGACACTGACCAGAATTTTTTTGTTGTTGTTTATTTTAAATAACACTCATTTTTTTTAGGTTGGCTAACAGATATTAGGAAATAGGCAATCTCTCTTGATTTGCATACACAAGCCCAGATGTTTGCCACAGAAGGCTTTACTTCCATGAAAGAAAGGAGCCTCTACTTCAGTAGTGGAGACAGATGGAATACTTGTTTATTGAGATGACCCACAGAGAAAGGGAGGGAGGGGGAGAAAGCAGGGGGGGTGGGGGGGGAGGCAGAGAGAGAAGGGGAAGGGAGAGGAAAGAGAGAGTGGGGGGAGGGAGGGAGGAAGGGGTGAGAGAGAGAGGGAGAGAGGGAAACGGGACATTGGTGATGGGAAATGTGCACTGGTGAACGGATGGGTGTTGGAACATTGTATGACTGTGACCCAACCATTAACAGCTTTGTAATTCTGTGTGTCAAGATGATTCAATTAAAAAAAAAAAACTGGCTTGCTTAGCTTAGGTCTCTTATATCTGTGTTCTGATCACAGCATAGACTATTGAGTGTAGATATGGATCTCTATCACTGGGTGATACTATGTGCTGACCAGATAGAGATTGTGCAAAAATTTCCCCAGCACTTCATTTGATATGTGGTTAGCATCATACAGACTGGAATGGGTTTCTTTAAAAACTTAGATTCGCAGATGGCCCAGGATAGTATGATTATGACAGTGTGTGATATTGTTAGCATATTGTTTCTTTTTGACCTGTTGTAAGTACTTTGGGAGGCTTCTAGCCTGGAAACAAAGTGGTTGGACCAGAGTGAGAGAGAAAACCAAAGGAGCTTTAGGAGTCTTGATTCTGTAGAAACAAGTCAATGATAGATTTGAAAAATGTGTAGTTTGGGTCAGGGGATGAGGGATAGGAAGTCTGAAATGAATCAGATTTGTCTTGGTTCCATTTGAGCTGATTCCCGCACCGGGGGTGGGGGATGGTTAGTATCTGTGCGGAGATGCAGGATCTTCACATTACTCGCCAGTGTAAGAGGGAAAGCAATTTGAAAGGAAGGAGAGTGGGAATGAAAGGTAGAGTTTGTGAAGACAGATTTTGGAGCTCTTGAACAATACCTAATTATATATTCACTCATTGGAGAGAGGCAACGTCTAGACTGGGCTCTGTGCCCAGCTCTTTGGGAAACAGTGCTTCAACGAAGTTCCTGCCTTCTGAACTGTTCTTGGTATACTGGGGAAATACCCCTAACTTAACAAATGTCATGTCAGGAATTTCTGCCTCTTATTATGTTCAGAATGTAATTAATGAGTGAGTAACATTGAAAACGGTTTATAATTGATGATACAAAATTCATGTGTCTACTATCATTACAACTCTACATTCCTCAATATTTAAAGAACTATTTTTGAAAAACTATATTTGAGGAACTATATTTCTGTTTTATCATTATTTATAAAAAGTAGTCTGTATTTCTGGGGCTGGAGTGATAGTAGGGTGCTTACCTTCCATGCTGCTAACCCTGGTTTGATCCCTGGCATTCCATGTGGTCCCCCAAGCACTGCCAGGAGTGATTCCTAAGTGCAGAGCCAGGAGTAAGCTGAGCCCTCCCAGCTTACAAATCGAAACAAAAAATCTAAAACCAAAAATTCTGTTTCCACTTTTACATATAAGTATATAACTCAAGTTTTTGTTTCACTTTAGGCATTTTTTACACTTGCACGAGATATAATGACAAAACTCAACAGAAAAATGGTTTGTATCACAAATTTTCTTTTTTGCTATGTTTTAAAACTTGTTTTTATATGCTCTTTGAAAAAGATGGAACTGACAGTGTATTCATTTTAAACTCACTTTTTTTTCTGACTCACATATTCAGCTGGTTGAATATTTTATGTTTCTTATTTCTAAGTGTAGCTATTTAGTCCTTTTCAGATGACTTTTTAAGAGGTCTTTGATTAGATTTTGATCAGAATAAATAAAACTAATGATAAAACTGAATTTTTTTTCTTGAAATGATCTACTTTGGTTTTACATATGTTATATTTTTGCCTGTATATAATTATAAACTTGAAGTTGTTATGATTTTCCTAGATTTGGAACTGTCTCAGTCTTGGGTCATTAGGACCACTTTACAAGTTAGTTTATCCTAAATTCTGAATAAAATTACATACATCTTCAGTTACCCACTCTTCTTTTAACATGATTATTTGTAGCATTTCCATTAGTGTTCCATGTTGTTTCCATTAGTATTCTTGAAACATTGCCCATAACTTTTTTTAACTAATAAGATCTTCCTACCTAGTGAATTATTAATATCAAAGATGTTACCTTCAAGGCATTTTTCTCATATTAATCCAAAAATTTCCAAAGAGACCGACAATAGCAGAGCTTACTTTACTAGTTCCCTTCTAATGAAATATTGGATACATATTCATGGTATGATTCAATTAAAAATTTTAATATGCTGCAGTTATGTCAAATTCAGTGCCTTCCTAGCCCTGGCAGACCCTGTCTCAGAAGGCTACAGCAGTCACATTGTCATCCCTGGACCCACAAACCCCTTTAGGGCCTCAGGAATCCATTTGATTACTGACACTAAGTGGAAAAAAAGCTTTTTATGGCATCAGACTCTGGAACTTCCATTTCCTTGGTAACTTTGCCTTCTGTTTTTCAGAATGACAGCAATTCATCAGGGGCAGGCGGGCCAGTGAAAATAACAGAAAACCGGTCAAAGAAGACCAGTTTCTTCCGCTGTTCGCTACTTTGATAAACTCTTTCTGAGAGACTGCAGCACACCTCGAGGACCCTTTCCTGCTTCTCTGAAAGCACAGGTCACCCAGCCTCAGAATCACACCGCCCGGCTGCTGCGGAGAGCACCACTGAACCTCCATCTCTGGACACGGACGCCAAGCAGATCCCAGCCTCAAGGCCCAGCAAGATAACAGGCTCCTTTCTTTCCAACAGGAAAACACTGAAGTGGAGACACACGCAGAACTTCCCTGGAGTTTTCTTTGTTTTTGTCCCTGTTGCAGAAGCTGCTACTTTTCTTTTTCACTTTGCACATCAGTGTTAGCCTCCTCTTATGACTGCAGAGTCTTCAGCTCATCTTGGCATGCTTCTTGTCTCCTGAAGTTCTAGACGAATTTATGCATTTGGGAATGTTGTTCAAAAAAGAGTGGAACATTAAAAGTGAACATGCGAAAAAGACATTTGGTCTGATTTATATGGCCAAATGTATTGCATTGATAGCATTTATTTAAAGGTTCTGATTTATGGTTTTCTAAAATAAGAGTCATTAAATCCCGATAATTTCCTCTTAAAAATTTATAAAATTGCCCATCAGAAGTCACAAATTCTTAAGACCTTTGCTTCATTCCTGACTTTTTTTTTTGGCCAGCATCTGGGTAGCTGAATAAATTACTTTTTCAACTGATCACTTCTGCCTAATCTATAGAACTGCATTTGGAAATCATCTTGATTCCATTTTCCTGTGGTTTGTGTTTGTTGCTCTCTTCCTACATTTGACCTATTGTAATCTTCCAGTGACTTAAAACATACACATTTGATAGTATGTTTGGACATCATAGTCCGTTTCTAATTGGAACTTCTTGAGTGGAAATTTGCCATAAGCAGAGAGATGGACCATTTAGAGTTTTAGCTCAGCGCCTAATCTCAAATTAGCTCACACGAAACATTTTTTCTAAAGTTCATGCTTCATTTGCTGGTTTAGTTGTAATCACTAATTCCTACCCTGATCTTTGTCTGTAAGAGCTAATAAGAGTTAGATTTTAATGTTCAGAAAGTTTACCAATAGGGAAAAAGAAGAACTTGTTGATTTAACTTTAACGGAGATAGCTCTTAGTAGTGGTAAAATATAATTCTTGGATTTATTTTTCTTACTGGAGTTTTCCCCCTTTTCTATATTTTAGTTTTATTTTTACAAAGCTGTTCAAGATTATGTTTCAGTCATACAGTGTTCTAACACTCATCCCTCTACCAGTTTACATTTTTCTCACTGGATTTAAAAAATAAAAATGATTAGGTATGGAGAGCTAGTACAATGGCGAAGGCAGTAACATTGCATGCAACCCAGCTGATGTGGGTACAATCCCTGGCATGCCATGTGGTCTCCTGTGACCTGTCAGGAGTGATTCCTGAGCACAGACTTAGGAGTAAACCCTGAGCATTGCTGGTGTGGCCCCAAAGCCACTCCTATGCAAAACAAAAACAAAACAATTTGTTTTCCCTTTAATTGAGACTCAGTGTAGCCTCTGTGAAAGTCTTGTCTTTTCTTTAGAGAAAATATGGACAAGGTTTTGATTTTGGAACAGTTGTTGAATGTGTAGATTCTAGTTTCATCTGTTCAGGTGTTTTGTTATAGAACTAGGTCCAGTCACTTGGGCCAAAGCCAACCAAAAGCTTAGCTGCCTTTCTCACTTGTACTGGTATACCTTTTATAGATGATACTGCCACCTAAGGGGGAAAAGTATTTAGTACTGACCTATGTGCCAAATTCAGATCATTGCTATTCTCTTCCTCTAAGAGGTGATTAGAGAAATGAATTCTGTTAATATAGTTCTTTCTATTTTGCGTAATTTGTATCTTAAAGGTTACCACTTTGCTTGATAATTAAGATGGGACATAAAAATAGAAATGGATTACTTGTTACCCAGCAGAATTCTGATTAGAGTAAAATGCATTGTTAGAATGCTTGGACCAATCAACCTTTACCACTTATTTGGACCCTTCTGTACAGTTTAGTGGCAGCAAATATTTTGGAGCTATTTTTAATGGGTACACTAAACTTACTACTGACAAATTTCAACCTCCTTAGTTTTTTGTACTTACCTCTAGGTTTAAAGGCACCTCTTGCTTTGATTGAAAATCCAGTATAGATCTATAATTTCATAATCAGATACATTTTTGAAAAAACTTAATTTCCTAAAACATCTTCTATTCACCTAAATTTGCTGGGGTTATGGGGGAGATTGGAGCAGATCCAAACAGTTAAGTTTTGTGATGGTAACAAAGTACTTTCAAAAAGGCAAGTGCTATGACACCACATGAATGTAATTCTTAGTAATTTACCTCTGACTATTGGTGTCTTAACACGTTAGTTTATATCTCAGGGTTTGTCTACAAACCAAAACTGACATATTCTGTGGTTATCTTTGTCTTTATCTTTTTTTTTTAAATAAGACTTTGCTTTTATTTTATCCATCATTCTTCTTTTATCTTCCATGGGTTACTGACTTGTCTCCATGAACTTCCCTTTGAAAGAGCCTATAAAAGTTAAATGAGGCTAAAAGTGCTCTTTGAAGTAGCAGCAAATTGGGGGGTATATACTCTGTTATATAGAAATAAATTGTCTTTGCTATTTTCTTACATTTAGCTTTGCTAAATTGTATATAATTTGAGCTAAGACCATAGGAAATTCACTTTCTGCATGGTAAAATGGCCCACTAAAGTAATCCACTTTGCTTATAATGTACATACAGTGCATTATTTTTTTTCTATTTGTAGATGAATTTAGTGTCAGAAAATTATTGTCTGTTTCTTGATGAAACTGAAGAAATCTAGTTTGGTGTCAACCTTTTTGTGGTCTTACAGAAAAGGTACAAGAAATATTTGCAGCAATATCATGGTTTAGCCACTTGCATTTTATTGTTAGTGTTCTCATTTTTAATAATGATTGGATATGAGATTGGACACCTTTTCAAATAGAGTGTAAGAATTTCAGACAATGAAAACGTGCTGCTGTAGCTAGCTAAGTGGCATGTAAATTTGTTGATTGCAAAATGTTTCACCAGGACCAGAAACTTATTTACTACAGACAGATGATGAGAAAACTTACCTGTGCATCAGTTAGGAGGTGCCACAGGGTTTCTTACTCTTTACAGAAACATTTGGGACAACTTTATTACAGATTTTCAGAAGACTATACTCTTTACTTTGAAGGACTATTTTTAAATTATACCTCATTTAGCTAACTTGTATTCTTAATATTTCATAGAAAAACAGTCAGCTTTTAATAATCCAACACGATTAAGATTTTCTTTCATTTCAGGCTAAAGACATCATTGGTAAAGGTAGAAGGTAGTTTAGAATAGAACATACACGTCATACCCAACAGTGCAGAAAAAGAGTATTATGTCCCTGTTTATTAAATTTAGCCATGCAATCTAGATGTTTGCAGAAATTTCTAAAGAGATTATAATTCCATTTTACAGATTCTGAATGCTGAGAATCTGTCTGTATTAATATTTATGAAGTTTTTCCTGCGATGAATTGTGATATATTTGAGCAACTCTTTAAAGATAAGCTTTTGAACTCAATATTTTAAAATAGTGTTTCATTATGTTGGGTTACTTATGTCAAATTTAAGCACTCATTTCTGCTGTTAGGTTTTTGGAGAATTTTTCTTTGTACAGAAATGACATTCCTTTTTCTTTCTTGTTATATCCAAAGAAAAGGAGGAAGAGGGAGGTGTCTAAAAACGAAACTCCTTGTTTTAGAGACACAGGATATCCTAATAAAATTTTAAATGTTAGCACAACTTTACAGTAGACTCAATCTTTCTAAGAATAATAAAGTTAATGGACGTCATGTTCACTATAAAAAAAACCCTAATCTAAATGCAAATCAAACTATTTTAAGGATGTTTTTAAATTTTACTTTGTCATTTAAAATGCTTGTGCCATATGCAACTGCACATCTTATTGCCAAGGAATAATAGATCTTCTTCTTTATTTTCTTACCTTTTTAAAAAATGTGAATAATGGTTATAGTTCCTCATTCCTGTGACTTAGAAAGTAGATTTTATCTGTTTGCAACTGACATTGCAATTTCTTTAATGCAATATACCATAAACTCTGACTAAAATTATGCCCCGGAAGAAAAATGCTTAGTTTTTTTCCAGAGAATTCTCCTACTGTGTTTGTTTCAGCATATTTTATTTTTGCTGCAATGACTTAATGTGAAAAGCTTCTGCAGATAAATAAATAGACCTGTCATCTTATCAACCTTGTTCAGCCAATTCATTAACTGTATACTGATACTGATGCTGGTTTTGTGTTTTGTTTTGTTTTCTTTTTTTAAAGAAAGGATTTTATCCCAGGTGAACTTTTTTTTTACAATAATGTTCATCTAAAATAAAAACTGCAGAATGAAAATACTCATGACTCTGAGTTGGCTTGCACATTGTAAAAATGTTCCTTCGAATGTGTTAGATATATGACTCAAATAGGGGTGGAGGGGACTTTTACTAATATTTTAGTAAAATTTATACCTGATTGATCTAACATTGCTTAGATAAATGGCCAAATCTCCAGCTTACATTTAGTTTAGAATACATGAAGATTATTCTCTTACAGATGTGGTCTTAACTTGATTGTCCTGCCCTTTTTAATCCTTGCAAGTTTGTTCCTCAGTTTTTAAATTCATACTCAATAGAACAGTCTGAGGTCCCAAGTCTGGGCTTCCTCTGTGCCCCTGGCTGTTAGCGCCTTCCCCTCACCTGCACAATCCTCTCAAACCTTTACTATTCTCTGATTTCGTCTGCATCTTTCACTCTTCAGAGATCAGTCTTTGACTGTCTC